CGACACCACCTGAGTTTCCATGGTGAGCGTCGGGTCCAAATATATGCTGAGGCTGCGGACCCCACTCTTGGTGGCCAAGGTGGCCCCTCCAAATGTGAGAGAGCCACCCAAGCCACCTACCACGGGGGCACCCACCCTCAGAACTTCCATCTTATCCAGGTTCAGCCTTAGCCCGTTCTCCTGCATCCATTGCAGTATGGCCCCCAGGCAACGCTGAAGGGAAAGGACAGCATCACCTGCAGTTGGTGAAAAGGAGATGTAGAGCTGGGTGTCATCGGCATATTGATGACACGAAGCCCCACATCCCCTAATGACTCCACCCAGCAGCCTCATATAGATGTTAAACAGCATTGGGGAGATAATCGACCCCTGTGGAATTCCACAATTGAGACTCCACTGGACCGAGACGCTCTCCCCAAGCTGAACTCTCTGGGAATGGTCCCCCAAGAAGGAACGGAGACAGGCAAGTGCCGAGCCACCAATAATAACTTCCCACTTGTGTTTCACATTTCCAACACTTATTTGATACATCAGTATACATCTCTGACAATTTTTCTGGGGTCATATGCCACCTATAAAACATCTTTTATATATTCTCTTTAAAATTAACCAATCTTGTAAGCTTTATGTTATTTTGCCATATTTTCAGCTATTGATCAATATCAATGTTATGCGCTATGTTTTGTGCCCACTTAATCATGGATTCTTTAACCGTAACTTCCTTGTTATTTTCAACCGTATTCCTTGTTCTCCTCTCCTCGGGGGGTGGGGGTGGAGTTACTCACAGCTATTCTGCCAAGCTGGCTCCTGTCTCCAGTCTGTGCTCGGGTGAATTTTCAGAGGGAAGAAATATCAGGTTGCCGCCCAATCTTCTTCCTTCTATTGCTCACCAACTGCTTCAGAGAGACCTCTCCTGATCTACCCTTCGTTCCCCCATTTCTAGAGGGACCCCAGACCGGGTGGTTCCAGCTTTTCCCGAGAGCTATTCCCAGAAGTTGCTGGCTGCACCATGACAAAGCTCCGCTGGGGCACTGTAGTTTTTGATGGCTCAACATCAGATCCCTTTGACATCTGAAGTGGAGTGAAACAGGGCTGTGTCCTCGTGCCAACCCTGTTTGGATCTTTTTTGCTATCATGCTGAAGCATGCCTATGGAACTGCAACAAAAGGTGTCTCTCTCCGGACTAGGTAAGATGGAACGCTCTTTAATCTCTCCAGATTGAGAGCACCAAAGTCCAACAGAAATGCATATGGGACTTCCTCTTTGCTGATGATGCAACTCATGAATCATTTTAGCAAGGCCTGCCAAGATTTTGGACTAACTATCAGCCAGAAGAAAACACAAGTCATGGGCCAGAATGTGGACTCATCTCCCTCTATTACCATCTCCACACAAGAATTGGGGGTTGTTCATGGCTTTGTGTACCTTGGCTCAATGAACTCTGACACACACTCTCTAGATGTTGAGCTGGATAAACACATTGGCAAAGCAGCTACCACATTCTCTATACTCACAAAGAGAGTATGGCTTAATAAGAAGCTGATGGCATATACCAAGATCCAGGTCTATAGAGACTGAGTCCTGAGTACCCTCCCGTACTTCAGTGAGTCCTGGATCCTTTGTGCACAGCAGGAGAGGAAGCTGAACGCGTTCCATATGCATTGTCTCTGATGCATTTTTGGTATCACCTGGCAAGACAAAGTTCCAAATAGAGTAGTCCTAGAACACCTTGCCAAAAGTCCAAATAGTCAAACCTATGGTTTTTCCTGTAGTGATGTACGGAAGTGAGAGCTGGACCTTAAAGAAAGCTGACCGCTGAAGAATTGATGCTTTTGAATTGTGGTGCTGCAGGAGGCTCTTGAGAGCCCCCTGGACTGCAAGGAGAACAAACTTATCCATTCTAAAGAAAATCAACCCTGAGTGCTCACTGGAAGGACAGATCCTGAAGCTGAGGCTCCAATACTTTGGCCATCTCATGAGAAGAGAAGACTCCCTGGAAAAGACGCTGATGTTAGGAAACTGTGAAGGCAGGAGGAGAAGGGGACGACAGAGGATGAGATGGTTGGACAGTATCACCGAAGCTACCAACATGATTCTGACCCAACTCCGGGAGGCAGTGGAAGACAGGAGGGCCTGGCATGCTCTGGTCCATGGGATCATGAAGAGTCAGACACGATTAAAGGACTAAACAACAACAAAAAGAACGAGCTGGAATGATCTCCTGTATGGAGAATTAGTCCAGGGAAATCTCCCCAGAGGGGGACCACAGCTGCAATACAAGGATATCTGCAAGTAGGATCTGAAGGCCTTAGGAATGGACCTCAACAGATGGGAAACCTTGACGCTTGAGCATTCATCCTGGAGGCAATCAGTGCATCATGGCCTCTCCCATTTTGAAGAGACATTTGTACAGCAGGCTGAGGCAAAGAGGCAGTCCTAAAACCAGCAAAATCAGGGAGTTGGACAGGAGACAGATTGTCTTTGTCTTCAGTGTGGAAGGGATTGTCACTCTTGAATTGGCCTTCTCAGCCACACTAGATGCTGTTCCAAGTCCTCCATACAGAACATGTTACCATAGTCTCTCGAGACAGAAGGTTTCCTAAATCCATTAAAATAAAAAAGCCAATGCCTGTATTATGACCAACCAAAATACACAAAAGATCTGCAAACATTTGAGTTCACCTGAACTATTCATGAGTATAGGATTTCCTTTACAGGATTACCACACTGTTTCCTTAGAGATGCCTATACATCAGATATCAAACTTGCAAGGTATCCTTGTGTTTATCTTCCAATGAACAATCACAAAATAAAGCCCACTTATATGAAAGATATAAAACTAGGAAAGCATGTGCTGTTCAGGCATCTTTCATCAGCTGCAGAACCTTCTAAATTTATGTGAAACATATCATGTACAATGGTGCCTCACAAGATGAATTTAATTCATTCCACGGTTAATGTTGTCTTGCGAAAAATTCATCTTGTGAAACGCATTTTCCCATAGGAATGCATTGAAATCTAATTAATGTGTTCCAATGGGCAAAAAAGTAAGAACAAAGTCAGATTTGGTTTACAAAGGATTTATTAAGTGCTCTTTAAAGCCATATTATGGCTCTGGTCCATATGACTTAAAAATTTCATTCAAAAACTTTAACTTTTTATACATCATAGAAAAACATTTACGAATCAGTAAACATGAGGCAGGAACAAAAAATGGAAAATATTCGTCTTGCGAAGCACGGCCATAGGAACATTTGTCTTGCGAGTCATCAACCCCCATTGCCAAAACCATTCGTCTCATGGGTTTTTTGTCCTGCAAGGCATTCATCTTGCAAGGCACCACTGTAGCTTGAACTGAGAAGAAATAGCAGATAGAACTCAAATTATAGTACATGAACCAAAACATACCTTAGAATCTTATCTGATATGATTGCACTACCTCATACTGAATAACTGGAAGAGTACTTGATAAATCTACTGTAGCAAAAGTGCTTTTGTGTCTTGAGAATAATGGGGTGTTATGTGTTGCAAATTAAGTGAATGCACAATCAGATTGGCTATTTCTTTCTTGATGGTCAACCCCTTTTTTCCAGCCTGATTTTGAAGATTTTGTTTCATTTATGCTGTCTGCACCAAGCCATATGCTGGTAGTATCAGAAGGAAAGCAAGCACAGGATGTTATGCCTTTAGTACAAGAATTTGAAGCACATGAAGAAGCGGCGGTGGAGGAGGAGGAGGAGGAATCGGAGATGGAAGAGGAAGAGGAGGAGGAAGCTTTGCATGAAACAGAGATAATAAGTGGAAAACCAGCTGGGTAGATATTTTGTGTGTGTGTGTGTGTGTGTGTGTGTGTGTGTGTGTGTGTGTGTGTGTGTGTGTGTGTGGTGTGTGTGTGTGTGTGTGTGTGAGAGAGAGAGAGAGAGAGTGAAAGAAAGAGAGAGGGATTTTGCAGATACCTTGCTGATAATAATTTTGAGTTGGCTCTAGACTTAGTCATAGACCTGTTTGAATGAATGGGACGTTAGTCATGGTTGACTTAGATTCCATTGATTTTACTGAATCTACTCTATGACATGAATCCAGTTCTTGTCACATTTTGTTCCTGCTACAACCTCTGAGTCTCAAATGAAGTCATGACTAAGTTTCAGCGGGATCAAGTTCTGTTAGGTTCAGGGTCAATGTATATGCTACATTAAACACATAATGTGCATCTAAATGCACACTATTTTACACTAAAATATGTAGCTCCAAACCTATTGGAACCAGTGCATGTGGATGAGGGAATACTTTCCCCATCTGGTTTTTATATATAAAAAATTAACCACCTCCCCCCCCCCACCCAGTTCTTGCACAGTGGTGAAAAAAAGAGGGGGGAAACTCTGCTTCTGTTGTTTTTAATCTGTGCATGAAAGGGTGAAAGGGTTTGTTGTTTTGTTTTTATATCAGATCAGAGAAATGTTTAAAGGTATCCAAGCAGCATACATTGGTCTTCATCTGGATTTTGATCTGACAGATATGCTTCGCAATATGCTCCATGTAGCATGTATTTTGAGCCTAGATCCATCTCACTATTCACTTATTGCAGCGTTTGAACAAACTGCAGGCCACTCTTTGAAAGGATGCATGAAATTTACTCTATTTCATTTTTATTGTTCTGTAAGTTTCTGTTTATGTGAGTTCCTCCTATCCTACCCAGCTGACTCTGGTTTAGATCAGAGAATTTCTCAAATGAATTTTGCAAATGGCCTATACGTTATTTTCTACAGTTTTCAATGCATTTCAGCACAGCATTTCAATGCATCTTCAGTACATTCCTGGAGATGACTGATTTGGCCACAATTACATATTCCCCCTGTTACAGAAGCTCTGCTGGCTGTACATCTGTTTCTGGGCATGATTCAAAGTGCTGGTTTTTACCTATAAAGACCTAAACAGCTTGAATCCAACCTATCTAACAGATTGTCTGGAAGTTGAGTCATGGCAACTGGACTTCTTTCTTACTACGGTAGGTTGAGAGAAGTTGCCATGACCCAACTTCCAGATAACCTCACCTGGATGACTGAGAATTTTCACAGATATATCTAACAGATTGCATCTCATACGGGGTTGTCTGGGTTTTAAGATAACCAGGGAGCTTTTTCTCTCAGACCTGCCACCCTCTCAGGTGCATTTGGTGTAAACACGAGACAGGGCCTTTTCTGTCGCTGCTCTCAAATGATGGAACTTCCTCTCATGGGAGGAAAAGTTTGACAGCCCAAACCATCAGAATGGCAGATCTCTAGTACATTTGTGCCACTCTAGAAAAAAGAAAACAGAATTAACAATCTGAAGAGGGCATTGAATAGGGAGAATTCTGTACGCATCATACACTGTGTCTTTAATTTCTCCTAACACTTTTGCCTGTCTTGTCCAATCTTGTTACATGTTCTCATTATATCCTGCCTCATACATATCACCATTGGCATCAATACTTTTGTCTGTGAAATGACACATTGAAATCCTCAGTGCCATTGAATTTGAAAAGATTTATGCCCAGATGAAAGGCTGTAGAATTACAATCAAAGATGGCATCCTTAACCTCAGACCACAATATTAGAGCTATATGGGAATATTGGGCACTGAACTCAGTGGGATTTTGAGAGGGATTGTTCTCTTACTATCTCAAACCATAAAATCTGAGGCAAAAAACCCCAATTAGAATCAAAGAGAACTCCAGTCTGGAGGCATAAAAAGCCACTAAAGCAAAATGAACAATCGGAGCAAATGATTACATGTTTGGAGTGCAAATATCCATCAGTATAACTAATAGCAATTTTTGTGCTGCTCTAAAATATAATTTGTTGCAAGAACATGTCTTGAAGCAAATTATTTTATCACTATGTAATACCTTTTCTAGTTTCTCCTGATAAATGTTGACAGGTACTAATACATTTTACTTTAATTACTTAAAATATTTCTATTCTACCTCTCCTGTCATATACGGTGGCTTACAAAAACCAAATGATAACCATGGGAATGGGATTGGATCAGTTATAGAAAATATTTTGAACTAAGCCCTATTGTTATTCCCAGTTGTTATTTAGTTTTCGAAAAGAACGGCATTCAAAATATCATGGGTACAAATGTTGGAAAATTAGTCTTATGATAAAGAATTTCTGGCATTTATGCTACATGGGAAGAGAGACAAAGTGCCCAGTCCATAGAGCAGACCCACTAAATGAATGGAACATGAATGGGACTTATTAAATTTTTAATTATTGGAAAAGGTATCATGCATGGACTTTCTAACATTCATTGAATGCTCAGATCTGAGAGAGGCCCTTGTTTTCTCAGCTTTTGTGTTTATCTGCCTCACATTAGCTACTGATCTTAGAAATCTATAGGAAGTCATGGTTTGCCTCGAAGGGAGGAGGGGGGAAATCTGAAGGTAAATGTTATAGATATTGTTTACCTTTCTTCTATTAACTCTCCCTTGAGCAATGTATTGGCTTACTGTGTATGTCATCATTGCCTCTATCTCTCTAACTTCTGAAATCATGTCTCTGTTGGAGATCTACAGAGCTGGTAAAGTTTCAGTAGGTTGGAGCACCTAACTGCATAGTTGTGGACTGGAAGTTCAAATCCCCACTATGCCTTCTAGGAGAGGTTCCAGCTGAGACCACATGAAGAATGTGTGGCTGGTGGGGTTCCATACCCTGATGCCTGTGTGGTCTTGAGGAAGCTGCACAACCCCAGAGGACCATTAGGAGGAGGGACTTTGTACTTAGATAACTGTGGGAGGGTTGACACGAATCAGAATTTACTAGGCAGTACATAACTAATTTTATAAGGCTCCATACAGATGCCCCCAACTGCTCTATGGCCAAATAAGAGGTACATGGATTGAGGCTGCTCCAACATATTCCATTTTGGTTACATTCTGATTCAATCGTCATCAGAGCCCATTATGATATTTGTGTATTTCTGAATGCCATTCCTGTGAATGAGGAAATACAAGTGACAAGGCCAGAACACAGACTGAATGGTACACACAAGACAGAAGGGCAGTTTGTCTGTAAGCCCAGGAGCGGCAGTGTGAAGACTGGAGGCTCTCTTTCATTTTTATTATTGCTATTTTGTTCTGCCACTAGGAGAAAGCCCCCACTGGCTTCCTAAGGTAACTACTAGGAATTGAGGGAGGTACTAGCTCTCTGCTCCATCCTGTGGTTGCCTTGAAAATGCATAAATACTCCTGCTTCCATTGATACTTTCACATTTGTCTAAGACAATGATTTCCAACATTGTTATTGGTCTACAACTCCTAGAGATCCTGTTCAGCATAGCTAATGGTAAAGGCTTCTGGGAGTTTTCATCCAAGAACATCTGGGGACCCAAGGTTGGGAACCACTTGTCTAAGACAAAGCACGTACTCTATATTTCAGGAAAATTAGTATTGCTTGCCTACCAAATCTCTACATTTAATTTGAAAGCTACTATAGAGGAATTAAGTACTGACTGGTTTTAATTGCATTATTTGTGTCATTCTTAGTTTGAAAGGAGCCTTGGAAAATCAGGAATTGTTAAGCTTATGTGATGTTGAAGACAGTGTTGAAGCAGCAAGCCGACAACTTGCCTTCTTCTTTCCTGATTTTTCCAAACCAAAGAAAGGGCCAGATGTCGAAAGAACATTGGCCTTGATCAGACCTGCTCTTTTGAGAGAAAGAAGAGGTTAGTAAAGACCATTTCCTGTTCCACCTGTATGGTTCAAAGATACATGGCATCTTAACTTTTCTTAAAGAGTTGGAGCTAGAACTGAACTAGTGTAAATTTTCTTTAACCTGACACCTATGGATGGGCTTTAGGGTGCTTTATCCAGATATAAAACAAGAAAATAAATTACATGCAAATTTTTGGGCATATGTACAGTATGTTCCCTTTTCTTGGGAGAGGATCCAACACTTCCATCAAATTTCCAAAGGCATCTTTGACTGGAAAATGTTTCAAAAAACACTATACAAGCAGAACAAAATCTAGCATAGACTTTTGTTTTGTTTACCAGTGAAGTGATGGAATAGGTTGGGATTTTAGGGGAAGGCAAAGATTAACCAGTGGCAATGCTGGCTGGGAATTATGGGAGTTTAGTTCGAAAGAATAACTCTTCCAGGATTTGATTGACTGGTTATTAAGTGCATTGGAAGGAAAACTAATCAGGCAGGAAGAGGAGAGAAATTCAAATGCATAAACTGACTGAGATCAGTTCTTGGAAAAGCTCTTATAAATAATGCCAATCAATGTTTTTAAAAAGTTGTTTAAAAGAATCATAGACCTGGAAGTCATAATAGATTAATTTAATCAAGCAAGAGGATGAGAATAAATTGTAGCAGTTAAGAACCAAAATATATGTCATGTTCTCCATATTATAACGATGCATATTTTGCACTTAGAAAAAAAATGCAGATATATAGAAACGGCTCATGTCATGTTACTTAGTAGAGTAAGAAACAACTAAAGTAAGCCTGTGGAATCAGTGGGGATTTGGTGAGCCAATTCCTTTGTAAGTTCAGTTGATTTAATGAGCCTACTCTAGTTGTGGCTTACTACACTGAACAAGAGGATTTTAACCACAGCAGAGAGGAGGGCTGTACTCTTGATTCTTTTTCTACACAAACACCATCAACACGGCTCTGCTTTCATGAGTGATTCCACAGATGGACAGAGGAGCGGAACATATTAGTTCTAAACAGACACAGTCATTCAGGGATAGAGACTTTAGAAAAAAAAATCAAAATCATGATCTACACCATAGTTTGGTCATCTTATCACAGTTATTTTCCCAAAGTCTGAAAGGCTAATTTGTATTTGGAAAGTGAATCACTTGGATTCTCTCAAAATTATATGTGTTTGTGCCTTAAAAATATGATAAAAATAACGGAAATGGTAGCCACTATATCTGTATTACAATATATGCTTATACAGTACTCACTTTAAATCATTTTATAGCTCTTAATGTGTTCCACATCTGATGGCCTCCAGATATGCTGGCCATTGGCCTTGTTAGCAATGCTGATGTGAATTATGGTGTGACTACAATGGATAGGCAAATCAGAGCAATTCAGTTTTGCTACAATTTGTTTTGCAGTCTGTATTACATTTGAAATTGCAGTCAGTGCTCACATAGGAGCTATAGACTGATTTAGGAGTTCACCCTTCCTGCAGGATGAGACTGAAGGATGCCTACGCCTACGCCTTCCTGCAGGGTGCATTGTGAGTTACTGTATATTCCAATCAAATTCTTCCCTTCCCTCCACTGGTCCCACCTCTGATTAACCTTTCTTCCTTTGGTCTTGTCTCTGCTGATTCTTCTATGGGGCATTGTTGTTGTTTAGTCGTTAAGTCGTGTCCGACTCTTCATGACCCCATGGACCAGAACACATCAGGTCCTCCTGTTTTCCACTGCCTCCCAGAGTTGGGTCAAATTCATGGAGGTCACTTCAGTGACACTGTCCAACCATCTCTTCCTCTGTCATCTGCTTCTCCGCCTGCCTTCACACTTTCCCAACATCAGGGTCTTTTCCAGGGAGTCTTCTCTTCTCATGAGATGGCCAAAAGTATTGGAGCCTCAGCTTCAGGATCTGTCCTTCCAGTGAGCACTCAGGGTTGATTTCTTTCAAAATGGATAGGTTTGTTCTCTTTGCAGTCCAGGGGACTCTCATGAGTCTCCTCCAACACCATAATTCAAAAGCATCAATTCTTTGGCGGTCAGCCTTCTTTATGGTCCAGGTCTCACTTCCATACATCACTACTGGAAAAACCATAGTTTGGACTAGGTTTGTCTTCGCTTACATCCCAAGAAGCATGCGTCTTTTAATTTTGTGGCTGCTGTCACCATCTGCAGTGATCATGGAGCCCAGGAAAGTAAAATCTGTCACTGCCTCCAAATCTTCCCCTTCTATTTGCCAGGAGGTGATGGGATTAGTGGCCATGATCTTAGTTTTTTGATGTTGAGTTTCAGATCTTTTTTGCATTCTCCTCTTTCACACTCATTAAGAGGTTCTTTAATTCCTCCTCACTTTCTGCCATCAGAGTGGTATCATCTGCATACCGGAGGATGTTGATATTTCTTCCAGCAATCTTAATTCCTGCTTGGGATTCATGCAGTCCAGACTTCCGCATGATGTATTCTGCATATAAGTTAAATAAGCAGGGAGACAATATACAGCCTTGTCGTACTCCTTTCCCAATTTTGAACCAATCACTTGTTCCATACCCAGTTCTAATTGTTGCTTCCTGTCCCACACATAGATTTCTCAGGAGATAGATAAGGTGGT